CACACCACCCCCAGGTTGTCCCAGGCCCCCCGCCCGGGCCCCGCCCTCCCCGCACCCCCACTACCCACCGTCTTCCCGTGAAGCAGCAACTGCAGCATGGGCAGGGCGTACGCCGCTGTCTTCCCCGAGCCGGTGCGGGCCCGGGCCAGGAGGTCCTTGCCGTCCAGGGCCAGCGGGATAGCCTTCTCCTGGATGAGCGTGGGTCGAGACCAGCCCAGGTCGGAGACCGCCTAGGAAACACCGGAATCGCAGCTCAAGCGGCGGCAGCCCGGAAGCCGCTCCCGGTCCCCCTCCCCCAGGTACCTGCAGAAGTCGGGGGTCAAGCCCCATGTGTTCGAAGCCCAAGGATTCCGCGTCCTCCATGGCACTGCTGCTGACGGCGCGCACGCGTTATTTAGAACGCGTGCGGCCAGGAAAGAGTAACAGCTTATCCACGCGGGAGGAGCTGTGAGTTCCCGGAAGTGAGAACTTCTCTGCTTCCGGTGTTCGGGCGGGGCTCCGTAGCTGGGAGTTTAGTTCCGGATCTGCGAGGGGTGCCTGGAACCTTGGGCAGCAGCGCCCCGGACCAACAGGAGCCATCGATGCCAACGGGGTAGGGAGTGCCCTCTGTTGCCGGTCTGCACACCCGAAACGATAGGATGTGGGATGCGGGTCCCCAGGCCCATGACTGCTGAACGTGCCGCCAATTTAGAGCTGCCAATTGGCAGCCTCAGTTCTGGTGTTGAGTCTCTGGTGACCCTGCCCCCGAGTCTAGGGGTGAGGCAGGTCCCCCGCTGTGAGGTCGAAAACAGCAGCTCAGCTCCCAGCAATGAGGCTAGGGACTACTGTGATGAATGGGCTTCCCACCCTCTGCTTTTTCCTTTTCTTTTTAGCGGTAAGGAAGGAAGGAGAAGGCTGTTTGATACGGACGTTGTAGACTACAAAAATAATTTTTTTTTAGAATGGAATCAAGGGCGGTATTGCGGGGGAAATCACGAGTTCTTTGTAATGTAGCCTAAATGCAGTTGGTAGGGGAGCTGATTTGTTTTGTTTTTTTTTGAGAGATTTTTGCTATAGGGCGTGTCAGTTCATGAGAGAGACAGAGAGAAAGCAAGAAATCATCCCCCTGGGGGAATGGCAACAGCCACCATCCCTCCTCTTGGGTTCTTGGGCATGCAGCCCAGCGAGTTTAAAGCCACAGGGTTCACAGTCAAACCGCAGTTGACCACATGGGAGTCCCCAACATAACCATTATATCACCTTTATATTACCTGCTGGTCCCAGCCTGCTTTTTTTTTTTTTTTTAAATCGTCACACTAGTATGAAACGTTCTTACTCCCACAGCTGCCAGCCCACCTCTGGGCCATCTCATTTCTGTTGACACACCAGAGAGGGATAATGCACACCCACCTTACTCCTCACCCCACTCACCTTCCCATCAAAAATGAGCAGCAGAAGGACCAGCAGGTGGCATAGTGGTTAAGGATCTGGACTCCACATTGTCCACTGAGGTTCAAGTCCCTAACCTGACAGCTTGAAATACACAGGGTGCATGTACAAGTGCTCCAAATTCCAAAGAGAATGGAGAAGGGATTCTGGCGTGTCTATCTCCCCTGGAAGGTGATTTCTCCTGTCCCTCCCATGAGCACAGGTGCCCTATAGCAAAAATCTTCCCCCTCAAAAAAGAGGGGAAAGAAACCCAAAACATAACTCTCCATATAACATATGTGCTCAGTTGTGTCTACAGCAGGACAAACCTGTGGAAACTGGGCCATCATCATCTGTGGCTTCCTGTCCTCTCACACCCCTGGATTGCTCTTTTTGTTTGCTTGTTCATTTCAGTAACCACCTAAGCCAGAAGTGGGTCCCTTCAGAAGTGTGCCATACTCTCCACATGTCTCAGCCCAAAAGTCCACCCAACCCATTTAACTAGTGCAGAGGACATCTGAGTTAATTCTAACATGAAGAAAATTGGAAACTATTTTAAATATCTGGAGGATTGTGGCATTTACCTCACTGGACTGGTACATGGCCATCCAGAATTATAAATATGAGGAATATGTTAGAATGTTTCCAAAAATATTAAATGATAAAGCGTGGAGAACTACACTGCATGTATTTTTTTTTTTTTGAAGAGGTTTTCGCTATAGGGTGCGTGCGCTCGCCAGACAGACAGAGACATAGAGACAGAAAGCGAGAAATCACCCCCCAGGGGGGATGGTCACACCGCAATCCCTTCTCCTCCATTCTCCTCTCGGGATCTTGGGCACGCACGCACACACACCTGGCGTGAGTTTTAAGCCACCAGGTCTGGGACGTGAACCGCGGTCGACTACGTGGGAGTCCAGCGACATAGCCATTACGCTAACTGCTGGTTCCCCACACTGCATGTATTTTTGAGAGTAAAAACAGATACCCAGGACCTGCCGATGTAATGGTTATGTTGCTGGATCCCCACATAGTTGACCACAGTTTGAGTCCCAGACCCAGCATCTTGAAAGTCAAGCCGGATGCAGGTGCATGCGTGCCCAAAATCCTAAGAAGAGAATGGAGAAAGGATTGCAGCATGGCCATTCCCCCTGGAGGGTGATTTCTTGCTTTCTAAAGTCTCTTCGGTGAGCACATGCTCCCTATAACAAAAAATCTCTCTTCAAAAAAACAAAACAAGGGAACCAGCAGTTAGCGTAATGGCTATGTCGCTGGACTCCCACGTAGTCAACCGCGGTTCAAGTCCCGGACCCAGTGGCTTAAAACTCACGCCGGGCACGTGTGCGTGCGTGCCCAAGATCCCGAGAGGAGAATGGAGGAGAAGGGATTGCAGCGTGACCATCCCCCCTGGGGGGTGATTTCTCGCTTTCTGTCTCTATGTCTCTCTCTGTCTGTCTGGCGAGCGCATGCGCCCTACGGTGAAAATCTCTCCAAAAAAAAAAAAAAGGGGACTTGGCATAATGACTATGTCAATGGACTCCCATGTATTCGACCGCAGTTGAAGTCCCAGACCCAGTGGCTTAACCTCACGCCAGGCGCATGTGCGTGTGTGCTCAAGATCCCGAGAGGAGAATGAAAGAGAAGGGATTGTGGTGTGGTCATCTCCCCTAGGGGGTGATTTCTTGCTTTCTTCTGTCTCTTTCTTTCTGGAAAGCAAATGTGCCCTCTAGTGAAAACCTCTCCAAAAAGATAATAAAATTTAAGAAAACTAATAAAAATCTCTCTGCAAAAAAAAGAAAACTATGTTGTAAAATGTCAAGATGTACAACTAAGGATATTAAATTTTATACGGAGATGAGCATAAGTACATTAAAATCTCTTAAAAGTTATGATTTTGGCAAGGGGCTAAGAAACTAGGTATTAAATTTCCTGGATGGTTCCTTGTTGACACGTTGCTTACTTGATTGACCTTTGTGAGATTGACCTTTGTGAACGGTTGAGCAATCAGCCAGTCCATTCCCATAGGCCCAGGAGGGTGGCTTATCCAGCTGAGTCCTAGCACTGGGAGTCCAAACTGAAGTGCATTCCAGGCCAAGAATCTTCCCTCTTTCCGTTTGTGCACCCCCCCACCCACAACCTCTTATTTTGTCTCAAACATGGGTACTACAACTCATTTTATTTTACTGGAAAAATCCATATAAAGAACCAAATCTGGTTCCCTTGAAGAAAACATTTATCACAGTTTAAATAACCGTTCAGGAAAGAGGATGGGTTAAGAGTGCACTGCCCCATGCTGTCATCACCTTACCTCCAACTCTGCAGCCCTATGGGAAGGGAACCACAGGTGTCCAAGAGAACTCTGCTTGGCCCTCGGATACAGCCCCGAGAGCAATTGTAATGTCTGCTTTCTGGCCCACAAACTGCTGAAATGCTATGAGCAGCCACAGTGGTTATCAAAAATGTGTGAATAAAGAGAATTCACAAGGACTACATTGGGGTTTCCAGCTAGTTACAGGCAGCAACACTCAACTAGGAAGGAAAATATATCATTTATCAAAAAATAGTTCTAATATATAGAAAAACATCTCAATCCTCTGGGAGAAGACCTACCCCTTATTTACATTGACAGAGCCACTGTATGAACCCAGGGCTGTTCAGGGAGCAGTGAGGACATCCTCCTTTGTGGCCATGCCAGTTGCCTACCGCATGAGCAGAAGAGAGAGCAAAAGGTAAAAGAGGTTTTCAATTTGATCACTTTGTGTGTGGACAGAGGGGAGTCACTGGAGGTAAAAGCAGCAAGGCAGCCTAGGTTAGTTTCAACTCCTCACAAGCCTGAAGACAAATTTGTGAAAGCTTGGACCAATCTCCTGTGTCCTCAAGAACCAGGGTTAACAAGTGGCTTCTCTGAATGGTTTGTTGCTAAGGAACCCACATGACTTAAATTCTTTTTTCATTTTTTTTCCCTCAAAATCCAAGTGACTATGAGATTGGGTGGGGAAAGTACCAAATAACTGAGGTGAGGAATGGAGAGGGCACTACACCAGCTTCTTGGCCTCGAAGAAGCTCTTAAGGTGACGCATCTGCCAAATGCCAGTGAGGATGAGGATGACGGTCTGTGCAATGGACCACCACAGCACCCTCTGATTGGTGCTCTCGCTCGTCAGACGAAATCGCTCCTCACGATACTGCATGGGGCAAACACAGGGTTAAATGAGCAAGAAACTGGTCTCAAACTGTTGTAGGTCCCACTCTGTGTACTCAGCTCTAGGACCAAACGCCTTCTGGAATACCACCACCTGTGATTTCAGAAAGGGCGCTACTGTCTCCTCACAGAGAAAGCCCTGAGGAAAGGATGGTGCAGCCTGTCAAGTGTCTGTTAGGACTGACATCCTGCTCCCACCATTTATGTTTGTTTGTTTTAGAAACAGGGTGTCTTGCTGTGTTCCCCAGGCTGAAAAACTGGCCTGCCTCAGCTGCCTAAGTACCATGGATTAGAGATGTGCACCACCATGCCTTGCCACTCGTACTATTTTTTTTAATAAGTTTTTTAGAGTTATCTTATTTAACTTTATTTATTTATTTATTTTAATTTGACCAGAGAGGAACAGAGAGAAAGAGAGAGAAAGTGAGAAAGCAAGCCACCAGGTCCGGGACTCAAACCACAGTCAGCCATGTCCAGCACCCTTAACCACTACGCCCTGCTGGCCCCATAGTCCTACCATTTTAAACAAGATCCCAAGGAAAACAGGTAGGTCTTGGCTATCAATAGAGTGCAAACTATCCTCTGTTCACTTTATCTTATAAAGCTTAAGAATTACTATCTAAAGCAAAATGTGGTATATACATATGATGGAATATTGTTCAGCCTTAAAGAGGAATGAAGTTTTGGGAACCAACAGTTAGCGTAATGGCTATGTCGCTGGACTCCCATGTAGTTGACCGCGGTTCGCGTCCCGGACCCAGTGGCTTAGAACTCACACCGGGCACATGTGCGTGCGTGCCCAAGATCCCGAGAGGAGAATGGAGGAGAAGGGATTGCGCCGTGACCATCCCCCCTGGGGGGGTGATTTCTCACTTTCTATCTCTCTGTCTCTCTCTGTCTGGCGAGTGCACGCGCCCTATAGAGAAAACCTCTCCAAAAAAAAAAAAAAAGAACAAAAAAAAGAGGAATGAAGTTTTGTCACAAAGTTACAACATAGAGGAACCTTGAGGACATTATGCTCAATAAAATAAGCCAGTCAAAAGGACAAAAACTGTATGATTCAGTTACATAAAGTGGTTAGGATCATACAGGCAAAAAGAATGGGAGCAAAGAGAGAAGGAGATGAAGAGTTATCATTTAACGTATGGAGTTTCAGTTTGGGAAGATGAAAAAGTTCTGGAGCGGCTAGCAGATGGTGTGGTTGTTAAAGGCACTGGACTCCCACATGGCTGACTGCGGTTCAAGTCCCAGACCTGGTGACTTGCTTTCTCTCTCTCTCTCTCTCTCTTTTCTGATCAAACTGAATAATAATAAACTTAAGTAAAAAATTTTTAAAAGAGAAAAATTCTGAATATGGACAGTAGTGATGATAGCACAACATTACAAACATGTTTCATATCATTGAATTGTACACTTAGAAACAGTTAAAGTAGAACCAGCAGGTGGCCGGGTACTAGACTCCCACGTGACTATGGTTCAAGTACCGGATCTGGTAGCTTGCTTTTCTTACTTTCCCCCTCTCTTTCTCTGATGAGCACACATGTCCTACAGCTAACTAAAAAAATAGTAACAATAGGAAAAAAAAAAAAAGTCCAACTACCTAGACTGACATCCTCTATTCTATCCTCTAAAAAGCTGATGATCTAAGTCAGGAAGGCCCGAAGCACAAACTCCAAGTTGGTACTATGGGTGTAAAGGTCAATTACCACCTCCAAGTACCATGGAGATATGCCCTTACCCTTTGGTAATCCTGCTCCTTCTGGATCTGCTCCACTTGGTCGAGCAACTGGCGGGCTCGGAGCTGCAGCTCGGTCAGCTTATCCTTAGCAGCGATCTCAGGGTAGTTGTTGGCGTGCTCGCCAACCTGGATATCCAGGTGCACGCGCTGCAAGGAAACCGGTGTCTGAGTGGTGGGGTCTCCCGCTTCTACACCAGGCTATGGTTGTGCGGCAAAGGGCAACATCTGTCTCCCTAGTTCTCCCTGTGCCAAAAAGTGTCACAGATAATGATGGCGACAAATCAAAATCTGGGGACAGGTGGGAGACTCCAAGCTGCACTTGGAAAGTCCTCTTACCAGTCTGCCACCTGCAAAGAGGGCCATCCTGGTGGAATTGGAGTGCAGGCAGATCTGGTGGTCGCCAGGAGTGTGGGAAGTGAAGGTGAAGCGACCCTCGGAGCCGTACTGCCTCGACAGCACCACCTGTAACGCAGAAGAGGAGGCCTCGGTGCGCCCGGGAAAGTGCAGGCCCGGCACCGGCCAGCCCAGCTGGGTGACTTCATGCCTACCTTGCCATCGGGGTCCTTCACCTCCACATGCATGCCCAGGCCTGGGGTTGAGGGCAGGAAGACCTCCTTCTGCTTGTCCCACATCTGGGTGCGATAGTTGCCTGCAGGGCACACACACGGTCACACGCGGCCTTCCGGGGCCGCCCCCGACGAAGCCCAAGTGTTCCGGGCACCCCCAAGCGGGCCCCTGCTCGGAGCAGAGGCGCCGCTGAGGGACAAAGGGCCTCTCCCCCTCAGCCCGCCTGACCGATGACCATAGTCTCGTCGGGGATCTCCTCGATGAAACAGCGCTTCTCGGTCTCGCCGATGTGAAAGTAGAGCCCACGGGCGCCCGCAGCGCATAGCGAGAGAAGAAGCAGCACCACCCGCCCCATCGCCCGCTGAGGCCGGGCGACGACACCTGCCATCGCACCTCACAGCCCGCGCAGGCGCGCTTGTTGCGGCTCTGCGCACGCGCGCCACCCAGCGCCCAGTAACGTGGAGGGGCGAGAGCGCACGCGCGGTAACGCCCACCTGCTTTCTCCTCCCTCATTCGTGGTCTCTGCGCCTGCGCAGCAGTTTCTCCCTCCGTGCCAGGGCGAGGTTTCGTGAGTCGAGCTTTCTAGATGTACGCGGTAGTGACCCGGCCTTGATGGGTCCCGGTGCCAGAAACTCGCCTGCAGGGCGCCTAGCGCGGCCCTCGGACCCCTTCCAGGCTACATGCAAACGGAAAGCTCGTGATGTCTTCTTGGCTCCGCGGCTGGTGCCTCTCCGCCGGTAGGAACTAAGACACAGGAGGGCGTTGTTGCAGCCATTGGGAAGCTGAGGCCAGCAATGTAAACCTTCTCTGGAGGGAAAAATAAAAAAAGACAAGGAATGACGTACATCCCCTCTGCTAAACGCATGCACCCTATGACAGATTCTTTTTTTAATGAAATTGTAGGTTATGGCATGAGGTCTCCTAAATGCTAAATGTTCGTTTAGCTTACTACCTTTTACTTGCTGAATTGCTGAATTAGACAACAAAGCACTTTCTTTCCTTTTCTTCTTTTTTTTTTTTTTTTTAGAGAATTTTTATTTAACTTGACTAGAGAGGGACAGAGAAAGCACACCACCAGGTCTGGGACTGGAACTGGGGACTGCCAAGTGGGAGTCCAGCACCCTTAACCACCACTTCACCTGCCGGTGGACAACGAAGCACTTTCTAAGTACACCGAACAGTCAAGTGGCCATGCGTGATCTCTGTCGCAGTTTGGCAGCACTGCTCCAGGTTTAAGTGACCTACCCTCCCTGTTCCCTGTTGCCCTTTCCCTTCACAGCCTCTCTGCCTCATTCTTTCTTTCTTTGAACAAGCTGAGGCAGGAGTTAGATCCTATTTATAGGCAGATAGGATAAGGGGGCTTCTAAGAAAACCAAAACTGGTGCAAAGGGCACTGGAAATCTGGGGTAAAAAGAAAAAGAGGTAGGAGTGGAAACAAGATGAGTGGGGTCCTGGGCCCGTTTATATTCCCTATTTATAGCACACCTTTTCTGTGTAGAGGAAGAGGGAAAAACTAGAAAGTTACATACTGAACATGGAATTAGAGCAAAGGAAGGTTGAAACCGTTTTTAGGTTTTTGTCAAGAGAATTTTCAAATAGACAAGCATAGAGAGTTCTCTTAAAATAAGTTTTATTTATTTATTTAACAGAAAGAGAGGGAAAATGAGCAATCACCCTCCAGGGGCAATGGCCATGCTGCAATTCCTTCTTTTCCAGTCTCCTCTTGAGATTTTGGACACATGCACACACACCTGGCATGATTTTCAAGACATGGGGTCTGGGACTCAAACCACACAGTCAACCATGTGCGATCCACTCACTGTAACCTCCACATCTCCTGCGGGCCCAATAAACTTCTATATACTTGTCAACCTAAGGGGGAGGCTGAAGCAAAGTAAAGAGAAAGAATTTATTTGGGCCAAGGTTGGGCCGTCACCAGGACATGCCAAAATCCAACTTTTCCTGAATAAGATATGCAATGTGTGCAGTCTTACAGATTTCAGGATGATTTTATTTTTTTATTTTTGGAGAGGTTTTTATTGTGTGTGGGTATTTTTTGTTTGTTTGTTTGTTTTTTTTTTTTGCTATAGGGTGCTTGCACTCGCCAGACAGACAGAGAGCGACAGAGAGAAAGCGAGAAATCACCCCCCAGGGGGGATGGCTACACCGTAATCCCTTCTCTCCTCCATTCTCCTCTCGGGATCTTGGGCACGCACGCACACGCGCCCGGCGTGAGTTTAAGCCACCGGGTCCAGGACACGAACTGTGGTCGACTACGTGGGAGTCCAGCGACATAGCCATCATGCTAACTGCTGGTCCCCTTCAGGATGATTTTAAAAGCACAAGTCACAAATGGATGGGGGGGAGTAGCCAGCAGTCTTGGGCAGCAGTTCTGGCTAAATTCTATGACAAAAGCAGCCAAGTAACCTCATGGTCACCTAGTATCACTTTGCTTTATGTGAAGCTTAGCGTGGATACAATGAGTTTCAAAGGTAAAGAAGGAATGTATTTGTGCAGTAAGGATGGAATCCCAGCCCTAGAGACTTGAAAAGCACCCTGGGCATCTGTGCACATACTCAGGACCCTGACAGGATGGAGAAATGGAGGAAATAGAGGATGCAGCACAACTAGGTCCCATGCAGGAACGCACTTTCTCTCTATTGTGACCTTGCACATGCCCATGCACCCTCCAGCAAAATAAAAAATTAAATCCTAATTGTCTTTAGTTTTTGTTTTTGCTTTTTCTTTTCATTTTGTACACTCGCTGCCCTGGATACAATATCAGCCATTTCTCTAAGGTGTGCTAATTCACTTTACTGAGAAATGGTATTTATATTGGTAACTTTTTTTTTTTTTTTTTTGGTGAGAGAAATTTTAGCTATAGGGCTTGTGTGCTCAGGGCATGTACACTCACCAGACACACAAAATGAGGAATCACTCCCCAGGGAGAATGGCCACCACAATCCTTTCTCCTCCCTTTTCCTTGTGTGATTTTGGGCATGTACCCACATGTGCCTGGTGAGTTTCAAGCCATTAGGTCCAGGACTTGAACTGTGGTAGGCCTTGTGGGACTCTAGTGCCACAACTATGATGCCATCTGCTGGCCCCTGTATTATTAACTTTGTATCATTTTCTTTCTTTTAGTTTTTTTTTAATTATTTTTATTTTTTTGCAATAGGACAGGTGTGCTTGGTAGACAGAGACAGGAACGAAACAGTGAGCGGGAAAGAGAAATCAACCCCCACCCCCATCCCCCGGGGGGATAGCCACACCACAATCCCTTCTCCTCTTGGGATTTTTGGGCACACGCGCCCATGCACCTGGTGTGATTTTCAAGTCATTGGGTCTAAGACTTGAGAATGCTGAGAGCTGACCAACTGATGGATAATTTTAAAAGGATTGCATTTGCCACTGTCGAAAACTTATCTCAGGCAATCTCATTGCTGGTGGTGAGGTGATCTCTGCTGGTATTGGTCCAGGTGCTCTGTCTAGGCTGCCCATCTTCACTCCTTTAATAACGTGGTGAGCAGCCAGATATAGTCCTTGTCCTAACAGGAACACAATGGCTACCAAAACAGACAAAATCCTGTCTTGTGGCTTTGTCTTGATTACTATCTACAAATGAACAAGAAAAATAAACACATAACAGGGGCCAGCAGGTGGCAAGGTGGTTAAGGGGCTGGACACTCCCACACGGCCGACCACGGTTTGAGTCCTGGACATGGTAGCTTGCTTTCTCTCTCTCTTTCTCTCTGGTCAAATTAAAAGAAATGAATGAATGAATAAATATATAAACACATAACATATGAAACTGTGATAAGCATCAGAGAAATGAGGCAGAGAAGAGGAAAGGGGATGCAGTGGGTTGAATGGTGGCCCCCAGAAGATGTATCCCTGTTTGAATCCCTGGACCCTGTCAGTATGACCTTACTTAGAGAAAGAATCTCTGCAAATGTAATTATGTTAAAGTTTTTAAAAAAAAAAAAAAACTTTTTTATTTTTAAAGAGATTTTTGCTATAGGGCCCTTGTGCTCCCTAGAGAGAAAGATGGACAGAAAATGAGAAATTACCCCCTGGGGGGATGGCCATGATGCAATCCTTTCTCTTCCATTCTACTCTTAGGATTTGAGACACTGATACAGACACACCTGTCTTGAATTTCAAACCGCTGAGTTCATGACTCAAATTGTGGTCAACCATATAGGAGTCTAGTGATATAACCATTATGCCACCTGCTGGTTCTTTAAGGATTTTGAGACGCAATAATGCTGGATTAACCAGGCGACCCTAAATCCAATGACAGGTGCCTTCTCCCCGCCAGCAGTTTTTGCTATAGGGCACATGCACTCACCAGAAAAACAGAGGTAGACAGAGAGACAGAAAGTGAGAAGTGAGAAATCAATCCCCGGTGGGATGGCCATGCTGCAATCCCTTCTCCTCTCTTCTCTTGGGATCTTGGGCATGCATGCACATGTACCCAGCGTAAGTTTAAGCCACCAGGTCCGGGACTCAAACCATGGTCGACTACATGGGAGTTCAATGACATAGCCATTACACCAACTGCTGGGCCCTTAATTATTTTATTTAACTTTATTTATTTATTTATTTTATTTGAGCAGAGAGGGAGAGTGAGAGAGCAAGAGAGTGCACATGAGAGAGGATAGTGAGAAAGCAAGCCACCAGATCTGGGACTCGAACTGTGGTCGGCCATGTGGGAGTCCAGCACCTCTAACCACCACACCATCTGCTGGCCCCGACGGGTGTCCTTATAAGAGACACGGAAATAACCTCACATCCACTAGGATGGCTCTTTTTTTTTTTTTTTAAGAATTATTTTATTTTAATTTTATTAATTATTGTTTTAATTTGACCAGAGAAAGAGACAGAAAGAGAAAGTGAGAAAGCAAGCCACCAGGTCCAAGATTCGAATCGTGGTCAGCCATGTGGGAGTCCAGCGTCTTTAACCACAACGCCACATGCTGACCCCAGGATGGCTTTTTTTTTTTTTTTTAATAATTATTTACTTAGTAGTATTTATTCATTTATTTATTTTAATTTGACCAAAGACACACACACACACACACACACACACACACACACACACAAGGAAAGTGAGAAAGTAAGCCACCAGGTCTGAGACTCAAACCATGGTTGACAATATAGGAATGTCCAGCACCTTAACCACTTGCAGGCCTAGGATGGCTCTTTTTTTTTTTCAGTTCAAACTCATTTTCCTTTTATTAAAGTCCAAGTTCCCATTTTATGGTTTCAATAAAGGAAAACTTGTTCAAATAAGGTAATATGTTATCATCAGTATTTCCAGGGTACTGTTTACAATCAAGTAGCAACAGCAATAATCCTTGAGAGGCCCAGCCATGGGCTTTTATG